TCGGGGGCGGGGGGGGGTGGCATTCCACCTAAAGGATAAGCCAGGAAGACAAGAGTCCTGCATCTCTACCTTCAATCTTGTCACTCGCACCCTCCATCCAAAAAAGGGGAGCAGTTTCAGCAGAGGCCACCATCCACATGACTAAAATGAAATCGTTTCATTAAAACTTGTGTGTGAATGTACAAAATCAGAGCCAAGAGCTCAGTAGGAAAATGAAAAAACTCAGTTTGTCAATGGGATCCACAGGAAGAGGTCCTGTGTTGCAAAGGCAGACAGACGAGTGAGAAAAGGAGCTGGCGTGGCCCTTGTCCCCCAAAGGCAGAGGTGTCAGGAAATTCAAAGGAAGAAGCTCCTGATAATAAGGCACGAGCAGGAGAAAAGAATGTGTCCAGGTCCCATACCCCTCACCACCCAGAGCGCCTCTCCCAGTCTTGATCTTTGGAAATCTGTAAGCTTTGAGTCACAGAGGTGTGGTCAGGGGCTCAGCAGCCTTGTCCCCAGGCTTTGTTCTCCCTGTTCTCCTTTTGGTTACAGCAGCCTTATTAAGGCACAAAACTGGGCCTGGGCCCCGAGCTGGCTGGCAGAGGAGGGAGACAGCTGCAAGGGCCTCTGAGCTCCAGGGAGCAAGTGCTGGCTCCAGCTCCAAGTTTCCAGGGGCTGGGAATGAGCCCAAGGAACAGCCATCAGAAGACAAAGCTGGAAGTACAATGGAAGAGGGGTCCCGCTCCCTCCGTCTTCTGCACGGCCTCGCCCGCTAACCCGTACTGAGAAGTGGGTAGGCGAGGTAGTAGCCCACGGCAGAGCCCAGGATCACACCAAGGAAAATCCAGGTATTGTAGGACATGACAGCCAGCATCACGAAATAGCCGATGACCACCTGAGCAACATGAACTAGAGACTGGCCAAAGTGATACAGAAACCACCTAGGTAAAAAAAGAGAACTGATGTTAGGGAGTAGAAAGAACAACTGGATTAAAGGACTAGCTTATTGGGACCAGCAGTTAGCGTAATGGCTATGTCGCTGGACTCCCACGTAGTCGCCCGCGGTTCGCGTCCTGGACCCGGTGGCTTAGAAAACCTCACGCCAGGCGCGTGTGCGTGCGTGCCCAAGATCCCGAGAGAAGAATGGAGGAGAAGGGATTGCGGCATGGCCATCACCCGGGACGGTGATTTCTCGCTTTCTATCTCTGTCTCTGTCTGTCTGGTGAGCACAGGTGCCCTATAGCAAAAACCTCTCCAAAAAAAGAAGAAAGAAAAAAAAAAAAAAAAGGACAAGCTTATTTGCAAGTGTAAGCTTAAACCAGGAGAGGTTTCATTCCAAAGACACACATCTCTACATGGAGTTCTGAGCTTCCTGGGTCCTAGGTCAAAGGGAGAGTGATGGGATATGAAACCCATCTTGTCTGATGGGTAAAATCTCAGGTGTATTTTTCTCCTAGAATCTACTGTGGGAGGCGGAGTGATGGTGGACAAAGCGTGGACTTAGTGACAGATCGATTCCAGCTCTGCCATTCCCAAATGTGGTCTAGCACAAATGTCTTAACCTGTTTGCTTAGATTGGCCACTCTCCACATCTCCGAACTTAAATTTCTTCATGGATAAAACAGGAATAAGAACACCTCCCTTGCAGGGTGGTTGTGAAGATATGAGACACCCAAGTAAGGTGGCCGGTGATGGATCGAGCTGTTCATGAAGCCTGGTGAGAGGCCAGAAGGGAGAGCTAAGTGGTCGCCTGATCAGAGTGGGAAGAGAGAGGGCTGCCTTCCAGTACCAGGTGGGATACATGACTGACAGCACTGTCACCACTCCTTCAGGACAGCTGCAGGATCCCTCCTGGGTTTGAAACCTAGTCACCTAAGGAACCTAGTGAGACCTGAGGGTGGGATGGGTGGCCCTTCCTGTTGCTAGATAGAGGCTTACACTGGGTTTCTGAGGACCACAGTTCCCTAAAGCAACCAGCGGAGCCTCCCGAGGGGCTGTTCACAGAGCCCAGCCATCACGAGACCTGAGCTCTAGTCACCTTCCCAACTAACGGATTAGTTAGGCAAGACCTGGCGCTGCCCTGGGCCTCGGTGTCCTTTCTCTGGGCCCAGCCCACCCCTGTGTGAGCGTGATGGCTCTGCCCATTCCTCACTCCCAGCGCCTGTACCTGAGGCGGGTTCTGCCCACTGCGGGTGAGTCTGAGCCTGCAGAGTCCTGGTCCGGCTCCGCGATGACCTGCTGGCTGATGCTGATGGGCTGGCTGATGCTGATGGGCAGGCTCCCCAGGGCCTGGTGGAGCAGCTTGGCTTTGCCAACCTTGATGCCTTCATACAACACAGCCAGGAGCAGGACCACCAACACCGAAAGGACCATGCCTGTCAAGAGAGGCTGAGATGCACGGATCTGGCCTGGCAGGCATTGCTCTCTTCCCAACCACATCCCCCCCCAAATCAGGCCGCGGAAGGACACCTCCCCCCATTCCCTCCGACCCCCTCCGTCCGCCTCTGTCTTCAGCTTCTTCCCCACCCTTCTTGCTGAGAACTTCACCACCTCTTTTGCCTTCCAGATCTTTCTGGGTAGGGTGGGCCTACTGGAGTGTGGCCTTGAGATCAGGAAGAGCACTGGGAAAGGCAGGGGCTGAGGGCAAGGATGTCAGACTATCGCACCGTCGCTCCCACAGCAGGCAGTGCCAGTCTGGGCCATGACTTCTTGTCCAGGGAGGAGTGCCCACCCCAGGGTCCCATTTACATGGAGGCATACAAAACTAGTCTGGAAGGAGGGATCAAAAACCTCTCCAAAAAAGAAAGAAAAGAAGGTGTTTTTTATTTTCTTGTCTAATTCTCTTAAGTTTCTTTTCTGGGTACGCATTACTTTTACAATAGGATATAAAAACCAGTAAGTTATTTTACAGGAAATGTTAATTGCTAAGTAGAGCCGCTGTGTAGACTTACCTGCCAGCGGCTACATCTGCTTCACGAGCGGAGGGATGATAAAGGGTTCAGTTAAAGTGTTTTATTGGATTCTTTGCCCCCCCCCCCCCCCCCCCCGCCTCTGTCTTCAGCTTCTTCCCCACCCTTCTTGCTGAGAACTTCACCACCTCTTTTGCCTTCCAGATCTTTCTGGGTAGGGTGGGCCTACTGGAGTGTGGCCTTGAGATCAGGAAGAGCACTGGGAAAGGCAGGGGCTGAGGGCAAGGATGTCAGACTATCGCACCGTCGCTCCCACAGCAGGCAGTGCCAGTCTGGGCCATGACTTCTTGTCCAGGGAGGAGTGCCCACCCCAGGGTCCCATTTACATGGAGGCATACAAAACTAGTCTGGAAGGAGGGATCAAAAACCTCTCCAAAAAAGAAAGAAAAGAAGGTGTTTTTTATTTTCTTGTCTAATTCTCTTAAGTTTCTTTTCTGGGTACGCATTACTTTTACAATAGGATATAAAAACCAGTAAGTTATTTTACAGGAAATGTTAATTGCTAAGTATAGCCGCTGTGTAGACTTACCTGCCAGCGGCTACATCTGCTTCACGAGCGGAGGGATGATAAAGGGTTCAGTTAAAGTGTTTTATTGGATTCTTTGGTGTAGTAAATGGATTGTCGGTCTATTCGGTTTTCCTGGCACACGGCTCGTGAAACCGCTGGAAACTCCAAAGTGGGAAGTGTCTTTCTGCATGTTAATAAGATGACTGACAGCTGGGGTCTCTAGACAGCCTCCCAATAAGGACTGGTTGCCAGGGGAACCAACCTCGTGATTAGAGGGTTGGAACTTTCAACCCCATCCCCTGGCTTCTGGGGAGGGGAATGGAAGTGAGGGTTGTGTTGATCACTAATAGCTGATGACTTAATCAGTCATGCCAATGTATGGAGCCCCCATAAAAATCTAGAAGGACGGGGTTCAGAGATTTCCAGTTGCTGAACTCATAGAGGTGCAGAGAGGGTGGTATGCCCCGAGGGCATGAAAGCGGTGTGTCCCTTCCTACATGCCTTGCCCTGTGCATGTCTCCCATCTTGCTGTTTATAACAAGGGGGTAAGGCCAGCAGGTGGCACGGTCAACCCCGCCTCCCAGACCTGGAGACTTGAAAACACACTGCAGTGCATGTCCCTGCATGCCCCAAACCCCCAGAGAAGAGTGGGAGGGAAGGGATTGAAGCATGGCTCCCACCCCTGAGGAGTGACTTCCCACATTCCCTCTCTGTCTCTCCCCTAGGAGCACATGTGCCCTGTGGCAAAAATCTAAAAAAAACAAAAACAAACCGATAATAAAGGACTAAATGGAAGCAAAGTGTTTCCCTGAGTGTTGTGAACCATCCAAGCAAGCAATCAACTCTTATGAAGGGTTCACGGGAGCCTCAATTTATAGCTGTTGGGTCAGAAGCACAACAGACAACCAGGGACTTGTGATTCACGTCTGAAATGGAGCCAGTCCTGGGGGGTGTGCAAACTCCAGTTAGAACTGAATTAGGGAGGGAAAGGAACAGGGGGAAAAATATGTTTAATTGACACAAAAATGGAAAGTTATTTGCTAATGATAATGTATATGGTAATGTCTTGGCCTTGACTGATATGCACTGTGATTCACACTGGAAAAACCAGTGTTGTTAACTGTAAAGATAAATAGTGATTAAATGTAAATTTAAAATATAAGTAAACTAAAAAAAAAAAAAAAAAGAAAAGAAAAGGAAAAATATGAATTAAGTTGTAGGACATCCCAGCTGGTGTCAGTGGGACGGAAGCCAACATATCTGGTCACAGAAGTGTACTGAACATAAGAGGAAAAAAAAGACCAACCTCCTCTTCCCAACCTCCCAGGAGAAAATTATCTGTAAAAGATGCAAGTTTGTTTTATTTTTTTTTTTTGGAGAGGTTTTTGCTATAGGGCACGTGTGTTCGCCAGACAAAGAGAGAGACAGAAACCGAGAAATCGCCCCCCAGTGGGGAGGGCCATGCCGCAATCCCTTCTCCTCCTTTCTCCTCTCGGGATCTTGGGCACGCACGCACATGCGCCCAACGTGAGTTTAAGCCGCCGGGTCTGGGACTCAAACCGTGGTCGACTACCTGGGAGTCCAGTGACATAGCCATTACACTAACTGCTGGTCCCAAGATGCAGGTTTTTAAAATACAAAATTAGGGACCATCAAATAAAGCTTGTGCCACTGACACTCAGTTTCATCATCTTCACCCAAGGTCTCTCATGCCTGTATAGTCAGATGATGGCTGAAGCTAGTCACAAAGATTTCCCTGCTCTTATGACCAGAGGTTGACACTGGCTGTTAGCTCAGACCTCAGCCAGGGTTGTTGGCTGAACACCTAGGCTTCTTTGTGGTGGGGCAGCTAGTATTGCTAGCTGTCAATCACCTCACAGAACCTTGAGAAAAATTAATAAGCCACTGTTTACTCAGCAGTATGGTAGTAGGGATGACCATCACTTATTTTCACTTGCAATGATAGGCATTCGGGCTGTTTCCTGTCTATTTTTAAGTTCCAGTTATTAAAGTTGAAAAGTGACTCCAGGGGACCAGCAGATGGTGTAATGGTTACATCATTGGACTCCCACATGGCCGACCACAGTTCAAGCCCTGGACTCAGTGACTTGAAACTCATACTGGGCATGTGTGCATGCCCAAAATTCTGAGAGGAGAGTGGAGAAGGGATTGCAGTGTGGCCATCCTCCCAGGGGGTGACTTCTTACTGTCTGTCTCTCTGTCTCGGTCTCTCCAGCAAGCACATAGGCCCTATAGCAAAAAAATCTCTTGGAAAAAAAAAAGTGACTCCATTGGGGCCGGCTGGTAGGGCAGTGGTTAAGGTGCTGGAGTCCCACATGGCTGACCATGGTTTGAGTCCTGGACCTGCTGACTTACTTTCTCATTTTCCCTCTTTCTCTCTGGTGAGCGTATGTACCCTATAGTAAATTTACAAATAATAATCATAAATAAAATAAAATAAGTAATTCTTAGAAGAAAAAGTGACTCCCACACTTACCTTTTTTAACTTGCCAGAGTTTGCATGTGCTCACTAGAGAGATGGGGAGAAAGGGAGAAAGCACCCCCCAGTGGGGCGTGGTCATGCAATCCTTTTTCCATCTTTCTTGTTAGGATTTGGGACATGCATGTTAGGATTTGAGATGTGCACATGCACACACACACATACACTGTGTTTTTCAAGCCACAGGACTGAGACACAAATCACCCAGTTAGCCATGTGGGATCCAGCTCCCTCAACCACCAGGCCATGGAGCCAGCCCAGTGCCATACTCTAGCCTTTTCAAGTCCAAGGAAAACTGCCTTTTCAAATTAATGTCTCATCAGAGGTCCCAGGCTGCGGCAGTTGATGTGGGCTTCTGAGTTGGTGCTGGACAGTGAGCTCTGGATCGGGGGGAGATGCGAGGAGGCAACAGGAGGCCTTGATTGAGATCTGGCTCCAAAGCTTACTATGTGTGGCCCTGCACGAGACTTCCCCACTCTGGACGTCAGTTCCTTCCTCTGTAATGGAGGAAAGGCTGCCTTTCCGGCCTCCCTCTCTGAACCTCTGTGGAAATCAGTGAGATAACAGAGCCCGGCAATCTGAAGGGTAGAGGTTGCAGATGGGATTACAAATGCAACGCTCCTGCTCAATGTTTATGCCAGAGGGTTCGGGCTCTCACTTAAACACCCACAGAGCCCCAAGTTCTCTACTGCCAGGTGCTACAAAGACTTCCCAGGCTACAGGTCCGGGCTGCCCAATTCTTACCTGTAGGACTGTGGACACTCCAGAAGTCAAACAGAAGCACCACCTTATCTGAGAAGACGAAATGCATCTGGAAGAGAAGGGAATCCATATCACAAGGTACTTAGGGCAGTGGAAGTCGTGGTCTCTAATGCTCTCCAGCAGCCTCCTCTGGCGGCCCAGAAAAGGGGGGCTCCTGGACTTAGGTGCTGGGAGAGGACATCAGGGCCACCTGGGCCACATGGAAGAGGGACTTGCCCAAGTAGGTAGCAGTAGAGGTGTGAGCTGGCCCTACTTGGTGTGGAGGTGGAGGTGGGCACGTGCCCCTCCTCACTGGGCTACCCAGGCTCGGATGTCACAGTGCTCTCAGGCCAAGTGAGGCTGTCCCCTCTGTGCCTCTTCCTGGGGCCCCAATCATTCTGCTCCCGCTTCAGGAGCTGCTCCAGGGATCTGTGTAACGGGAGTATGGAGTCTTTCTTGTCCTGGGGAGTCCAGGCAGATCCAGAGGTGCTTATCATGGGGGACGGGGGTTCCAAGGGCAGCTGACTTCAGTCTGTATTCCACATCTGTGCACTCATGCACCAAACACTCACTAAGCCCAACCGTGTGCCCAGCATTATGGAGAAAAGTTAATGGCTCTGCACTTGCTGAGCGAACCTAGCTACAAAGACTGAAGGTAACAGCAATGGCCATGCAGTGCCTGTCAGAGTGCCCTTTCCAGAGCGCCTGGTCCACCCACGGTCAGGCAGCATCAAGGGCTTTTCTGTATACGACCACATGTTAATGTCCCAGCAGACTTCTGAATGGCAGGGACTATTAGGATTCTTTTAAAGAAAGGACAACTGAGGAAACTATTGGGTCATTGGAAAAGGAATGATGTATTTTTCTGTTTAATTATGCAAAAATGCATCATGACTTTTCTGACAACCCAATGGATTTAGAGAAGCTAACCTGATTTGCTGGAGGTCACAAAGCTACTAAGGTGAAGGAGCTGAGATTCAGGCTTACGTTGGCTGATAGCATATAGGCGGTAAGATATGCACCTTGGGACAACAGTTAATCATTTTAGGAATAAGAAACGTTGGAAAGCACTAGGGAAGTCTTCTTTGCCTTTACTTCATATAAGTATTTTAGCTCACACCAACACTTGGATTTCGTGGTTGATGACACCCAAATTAACTTTTTAGGCGAGTTCAACTTCATGCTGATGATGTATCAAATTCATTTTATGCAAAAAAATTGTTTTTCATTTTTTCTGGAAGTGACATATGTTGAAGCTACAAATCCTATGGCAGCATTTGTGCTGGGGCAGTCATTACAAAAAATGTTTTTGGCGCAGCCATGATGGTATGCACTAAGGTGCTGTGCTCTGCAAGGTGGGACCTCATAGGAGGCCTGAGTTTGATTCCCAAGACAACCAAAAAGCCAGGTGTGCACCTGTAATCCCAGTGACTCAAGCAACTGAGCCAAGAGAATCACAAGATAATGAAATCCTGTCTTTAAAAAAATGTTTTTAAACCTTAAGATTACATTCTCTCTCGGGGCCAGCAGGTGGCGTGGTGGTTAAGGTGCTGGACACTCCCACATGGCTATCCATGGTTGGAGTTCAGGACCTGGTAGCTTGCTTTTCCACTTTATCTCTCTCTGGTCAAATTGAAATGAATGAATGACTAAATAAAATTAAATAAATAATTATTTTGTAAAAAAGATTATTTTCTGTTTGAATGTGTAATCCTTATTCAAAAGAGTAATATTAAGGTTACTAGTTCTATGCAAACTACTATTTCGACTGTAACAGGATTTTTGAAGAGTTGAATCACTTCTGGTACCTTGGTATACATGTTTTCATTTGTTGTTTCTTAGTACATTCTTACTGAAAAATTCTTGTTTTGATCTGCCTCAATGTAATATATATTGTTTCTATATAGAAAAACATTTTAAAAAATTATAAAATGAAATTTTAAAAATCATTGTAATCTGTCTGGCGAACGCATGCGCCCTATAGCAAAAATCTCTCCAAAAAAAAAATTATAAAATTAAATTTTAAAAATCATTGTAATCTATAAACTCATAAGGGAATGTATGTTACGAATGCTATTGACAATGATATGACGTGAGTTCATAGTACTGTTACAAGTACCAAAAGACCAAAACCTCAATAAAATTTGAGGCAAATGTGTTACTATGTCATTTAAATAAAAACATTTTATAAGTTTAAAAGAAATTAAAAAAAACACTTTAGTCAGATGAATTTCAAAGCCCTGCTCATTCCAGACACTTGCTGTCTCTCAATCTCCAAGAAGAGAGGTAAGAAAAGAGCTGAATAGCCATTTTAAAGGCCCACTCCAGGCTTAATGATGGTATTTGGTAAAAGGAAGGCCTGACAGATTCATTGGTTAGCCCTCTTTCAGGGAGAAAGGACCCTCTAGTCTCTAGGAAGCCCTCGGTGGCCTATAAAAGAAGCTCTGCAAACACCCTGAGTGCTCACCCACCAAGAAGATCCTGGTTGAGCAGGGATCAGCTGGTGGCAGCGTCTGGCTTCTAAGACAATGGACAACTTAGAATCCTCCAGTGTCAGAGCTATAGTTGTCCTCGGGGAAGTTTTGGTTTCTAGGTTTCAACATTTCTTTCTCCTTTATTCAAGACAGAGCGTGTGCGCATTCACATACATGTTAAGAGAAAGAGAAAGGAGCACCCTCCCCAGGGCCTGGATGCACTGCCACCCACTTCCTCCAGTCCTCTAGCTATGGGTCGCGGGCACTCACACACACATGGCGTGTTTCAGGCTGACTGGACTAGGGATTTAAACCATGGTCACCATGTGGGATCTGGCTTCTCTTGCGGAAAGCATTACCACCGTGCCACGGAGCCGGCCTAGCTTTCAACTTTTTTTGCCAGGGAACACTGGCAAAATCTCTGTATCTCTATTATATGTACATGGGGCTCTGGGGACAGAGGGGTGAGCTCTGCTGAAACTCAGTTTGAAAACATGAATATGGTCCATCCCCAGTCCCTCCCCACCTTCTCTCATTTCCCAGTGAGGAAAATGAATTCCAAGAGGGGAAGGAATTTGCCCCAGACTTCATAAGCAGTAGCCTGGTGGCTCTCAATTTGTGTTCAAGAGGAGAGGGCCTGGAAAAAGACTGTGGTTTTTGTTTGTTTGTTTTATTTCTTTTTCTTTTTTTATAAAAAGAGTACTTTAATTCTTGTCCTCAGAAATGATAGCCTATACATGATTTGGATATGAGACTGTACCAAGTGATGGCCAAAGGAGAATCATCCATTCTACACCTTCTGTTTGGTCTGGTCACTCAGAAATATCATGTTATCAGCTCTGATTGTTGTTGCCTGCTGCCTCACGCTATTTTTATCCGTGTATTCACCATAGTCTACTTTCCCTTCCACATACATTCGAGACCCCTCTTGCACACACTGATATGCCATATCTCTGAAGCCTGGCCAGAATACTGATTTTCTGTGCCGTGTTGTCTTCTGGCTAACATTGCCCATGTGGTAGACTTCATTGTCCCCTGAGCTCCACATCTCATTTGTTGCCAAAGAAAACCTTGTGACTGGATTGTTTCCTTCCACCTGCCTCATGACAGGATCCTGACCCACTCTCCCAAGTAACTGCACGCGATTCAGAGATCTTTCAAGAATCAAACTGCTAGATATTTCAGATTCATATCTTACAAACGGATGAAGTACCGGTAATACGGGTCTTCGAAACGTGGCTTCTATTTTCTTTTCTTACGATCTAATATTTAGGTCTTTCCAGGGTGGGAGGCTGGGCACCCTTTCCCAAAGGGGACACTCCCACCCCACACCACCGGGGAGCTTGGGAGAAACCTCCGGGTTCTCCGCATCAGGGTGGGCAGAAGGGCTAGACATCCACACAGCACCACCTCCCGACCCTGCGGGCAGGCAGGCAGGCAGGACTGAGACTGGGTTTTCATGTAGGCTGTGGGGAATTCAAGCTTAGGCAAACCTCAGGGTGGAGTGGAGCGATAGGCAGACTAGATTAACTACCATGCTGTCAGGAGCCATGTCATGTGGGTGTTCCATGGCCTTCTGGAAACCAGAACCACAAACCTGTTTGCAGGTGTGCCAATCTTCTATTAATACTTGCCGATGACAGTCCTATACCTCAGGCCACACGTGTTCTAGCCTCTTCCCTTCTCCTCTCAGAATTTAGAATCAAAGGAGATAGTAAAGAATAGAAGATCGAGTCCAGGTTATGGAACAAAACAGGTCTGCTAATCAGGGCCTCTCTCGGGCCTGTTTCCTCCTAGAGAAGCTAGAAAGCCTGTGACATTGTCTGACAAGGTGACCCACAGTTAAGGACTCCATAGTCTGGGCCACCCTCTCCCACACAGGTTGAAGCTGGGGGGCGTGGGGTTGTCCTCAAAAGTGTTTCTGGAGAGATCTACAAGGCGTTAGGAGCTACTCTGTGGATTCTGTGGCCAAGTAAGTTCAGAAGAAACTGGAATTGGGCAAAATGAAATTTAACAGTTCTCAGCTGCCAGAAGACTGAGTCTAGGATCCTCTCCCTACCTCTTTCTTGTTGAGCACCCTGTAGGAGAGTAACTCACAGAATACACCTCAAGACATCTAGTTCAGAGCAACCTCCTTTTCCATACTTGGGAGAAAGGGGGGATGACATTTAGTACTTTGTGCCAGGCACTATTCAAAAAACGCTACCTCTCTGAACTGCTCTTTGCTCCATTTTATAGACGGCACGACTAAGCAGTATGGCTCGGATTTTGCCAGGCCGGCTGGCTTCAGTCAGACTCTGGGTTCTTCACGGCTCTGAACACAGCCGCTCAGGGCAGAAGAAGTCTGCAAGGCCGTCGTGACACATCCAGGGCCGCACTGGGATTAGCAGCATCAGGACTAGAACTGGGGTGTCTCTACGAGCCCCTCATCTGACACAGAGGAAAGCAGAGATGCTAAGACATGGAGTTGAGGCCACCGTATTCTGCAAGACCAGCAGAGTTAAGGTTGAGCCGGTTTTTGGTTGTTAGTTTTAATTTTCAGAAAGAAGATGTGAACATAGCCAAAGAGGCAGATATGGACACCTTGGGGGAAAAGAAAGGAAGAAACTGAGGGGC